AAAAAGTGCATAGCTTACACAGTGGAGCAGTACATTCTTATCGTTACAAACAGAGCAATATAAAAAGGAATATACACTTGAAAAAAAATCAGAAAAATCCCCACAAAAAAGAACAATTTTTTTTTTTTGCTCTTACTTCCTTTACTGGAAGTAATGACTGTTGTATTTCCGCAAACCCAAAGAAAAGATCAAAAAGAAACTTATATGACATACATAAAAAAACTGTCAAATTATATAGAAGAAAAAGTCCAATGATATGGAAGAATAGAAACATAAGTGCATAATAATATAAAAAAAAAAGACATCAAAAATCACCTTTTCCAATCAATAGAATCCCGATGTGGCTCCCTAGGTGACTGTTTGTCCCGGCGTCTGTTGCAGCAACACACATATGAAAGAGTTACCAAGAAAACAACCATCATCAGACCAACAATGATTATTCCCATGGAGACCATACCTTTGCAAACGCCGGTACACTCGCTTAGTTCTTCACCTTCTCCAGGAATTCGAACACTTACGAAGGAAGAGACATCTGGTCCAGGATACATTGCCAGCGTGGTGGCGAACTTACTCTGCTCAATTAATGAGCTCACCTCTTCCGGGGTCCATATATGCTGCAGCCACGGTTCAGCTACAGTTGGCAGCACTGTCTGATTGACAGAGAGTTCAACCTGCAGGTTACCAGAGGTTGACAGCGAATCAAAAGTTATAGTTGTATTAAAGGCATACCTTCGATTCAGCTGAAGACCAATATCGGCGATGAGGGCTTCTCGAAGTTCAGCAGATTTATCCTTAACCACAGAGTCCCAACCAGTGCCGTTGAAAGTGATTATGTGCTCCGACTTTGATGACTGTGCGTAAACATGGTGCGAAACAAGCAGTGTCACCAATGCAAAGAGACAGAGGAAAACACTCTCCTTCATCTTACTGTTGGGGTTCGTAAAAAGAGAGAAAAACCTTACTTGTCACTTGGCAAAGAGTATCTTTCTATAGAATATAAGCAACCAAAGTGAGATAAAAAGAAAAAGATGACACACACACACCCTCTATGCACGAAAAGTGCTGGGCTCAATTGGAATTTCAAGACGTTAAACGGAAGGTAAGGAATACTGTGTTCCACCACTTCCGCCGAGGAGACATCGGGGTATCATAAAAACAAATGTATGCAATTGGATATCAATGAGCGAGCACAAATAATTTATTAAATACAGACATAAAAGAAAAGCGGTTTTGCACTCCACACCTGCAAATGTACCGATATAGGTATATTTAGAAAACGACTAACGAAGCAAAAAAAGGCAAAAAAGCGACTCACGTAGTTCGCTCCAAGTAGGGTATAATAAATGC